ATGAGCGCTTTAATGGGCTTAACATTTCTAGTCACAGCCCAGGGAATTAGACTCATTCATTTCCAAATGAAGATTGAAATCTATCATTTAGCATTTTCTGTCTCAGACTGCAAGAGTAGGCTGAAGGGAGACACGCTAAAGCCCATAGTTACTTTGACTAAGCAAAGCCAAGTTATTGCAAATGAGAGTTTGATCTCTTTGTAGAAGAGCTTTTGTGGCACCTATAAACAGCTCTCTAGGGGTGGCTGACTACTCCTTAATAATTGGCGATTTTCAAGAAAATCTTTATAGGCAATCTACATAATTTATGTAGCTTTAATCAGATAACTTCTGTTGTTAAAATGAGAAATTGTATTATTCAACAAGTGAGCAAAAGCTATTTGATGTATAATTAGAGTTCATCACTGTCAAAGTAATTTAGAGTAGTGAATTTTTTTATGAAAGCCGAATTCATGCAATTGGTACAGACTAAAATTACTATAATTGTATTAGGCTGTGATTATGGAAATCCAATGAGCCAACCAACCAAGACAACTAAAATGAGACACTTTAAAACATTACATCAAGCACCAAGGTCAAACTTTTCTAGGCTGTAGTAACCAGTTATAGCTATGCTGGAAAACACATCAGAAGATCAGTTACTTAATAGGAGAGATGGATCAGTGGTTAAGAGCCGTTTTTACTCTCTCAAAGGATCCAGGTTCAGTTTCCAGCACCGAGACAAAGACTTAAAGCAATCTATTACTCTTGGGGAATCCAATGCTTTTTTTTCTGGTTCCTTGGACAACAAGGCATTCACATAGTGCACATAAGTGCATGCAGGCAAAATCCTCATATACATTAGTAAATGTAAGTATTTAAAGTATTTTTTCCTTGTTTCTTAGTTTAAAGCTACTTGATTACAACATGTCCTAATGTATATTTCTATAGCATTGTTCTATATGTGCTTTTAGGAACTTTCATTTACTATCCTTTTCTCTCTCTGATTTGTCAGATCTACACTTTTCACTCTGTTTCTACCATTCGGAAATACCAATTTAGTCCTTCATTATTATCTTATGAGTTTGTTTCTTATTCATCTTCTGAAGTTCAACATGAGGAAGACCTGTCTTTAAGCCCACTGCTTCCATCCTATCTTCTCTATACTACCATTGAGATTACCCCAGGAGACTGACATGTTACAGAGTCTATGAAGGACTTTCCTATAGTTTTTACTATTTAGCTGAAATTGGCTCACTTTTTGCCCCTTTCACCTTCTTCTTCTTCTTTTTTTTTTTAGACATCAAGAGACTTTATAACTGATGTTAAAACTTTATCATCGTGGTGTTTGCTTTACAAATTTTTGTTTGTTTTTTTGACACAGGGTTTCTCTGTGTAGCCCTGAATGTCCTAGAACTGTACACATGGATCAGGCTGTTCTTGAACGCACAGATACCTACCTGCCTCTGTTGGGATTGAAGTGTCATCACCTGGCATCCTTTATAGTTCTTATTGAGTGATTCTAACATTTGACCTCATTGTTATTGACAGTGGTTGATGATTTTATTACAATCAAATTATGGATTTGTTGAGACTCTTATGACAAAGATTTTAAGGACATTTTAGATTTTCTGAAACAACTCTGTTGTTCTTGTTCTATTTCCCTAAGCAGTCACCCCGTCAAGGTTTTTATCTAGTTGCATGAATTTGGTGCATGACAATTTGGATTTCAGCCCTCTGATGATGCTAATCACATCTGCACAGGTGCACTGGTGCTGCTGAGTATTCTTCTTGGTGTCATGTGAGAAGGAGTGAGAGATACTAGCATCAGATCTAAGTTTTTTTTTAATCAGTTTCCTGGGATACAAAATAAATAAATTTTTATGTAGCTAAATAGAATTTTACGTTTTCACCTATTTTTATTTTGATTTGGCATATGCCTAAATGGGTACGTATAATTTATGAAAATTTTCTCTACTCAGGGATTATCAATAGTTATAGGTCTTAATGAAATGTTTAACCTTTTCTCATCATATGTTTACATTATTTTTAAACAGTGATTTTAAAGTTATATTTCTCAATTTTAAATTAACTTGTTGACTAATTCATAGAACTAATCTTATCACAGCAATTTAATATGATATTGAAATGGCTGGTTTCTGCAGCCAAACATTTAAATAAAGATTAGAAAGAGAAAAAACTAATTATCACTACATAAAAACCACAGGGAATCTACAAACCTCTTTTCTTAACTAACAAAGCATGCCCATATGGTTGTCTATATCCTCTTTATGTAGCAGAGGCTGGCCTTAAACTCCTAATCCTCTTGCTATTACCTCCCCAAATCCTGGGATTTGAGAATACACCATTTGCATATTCTGGTAGAAAGTATGTGTGGTCATTTTGTATCTATGTTCTTGTCCAAGCTCTATGTTCAAGATTTGAAAACAAGTAGAAACCATGTGAGGCTTCTCTCTCCCCGCTCCTGCTGTGCAGTGAAGAGAGCAGAGCCCTGACAACACACACATAAGAGTACAGGAATAAGAAACAAACACATAGATAGTACTAGTGAACTAGGACAAAAATGCAAAAGCTATTTAAAGAAGGATTGATAGCCTTTTCAGTAAAAGGTGCTGGAGCAGGGAGTGATTCTCACAGCAATCTGTAAATAAGGGAGACCTCTATCGAAACAATACAACTTACTTGAGAACTGACTCAAAATGACTTAGAGACTTCTAACACAAACTTTTAGAAACCATGAAGGAAAAAGTATATAAGGCTAGGAACACGCCTATAATTTTTAGACGTGACACCAAAAGTATGATTCATAAGAAGAGAAATTAATAAATTGTCATGAATCCATAGATTTTTGAGACTCACTCAATGCATAAAGCATAGCAACCATTTGGGGTCTAATGCTGATTGATTACACAATCATACAGTTGAAAGGAACTGAACGCATGATTTAAGTTCTACTTAATAAATTTTCACTTGCTAAATGTTCTTCTATAACATATTCAAATAAGCATTTTTTCATATCTTCCCATTGCAAGTTATCATTTATCACTTTAAACACATGATACTGTGCTTCTCTGATGGCTAAGTTACCAAGGTGAAGCAGAACAAAAACATATTGAGTAAAAACACCTACAAGCTTGGGTATTTACTGAGAAAACAGAAGCTGGCTAACTTCTAATCTGCTTATATGATTGAAAGAGAAATAGGATATAAAATGTAGAATGTAGAACTCTCATGGATGGGTAGCTGGATGCATGGGTGGGAACACAGGATCCCGCTTGTTATGCACTACTATGAGAGTAGTTAAGTAAAGCTTTTGTTTTGACCTTCATAAACGATTATTGGTTATGTAGTATGACTAATCAGAATACGTTTTCTTCCTTATGCAAAAAGAAAATGTGATAGACAACTATGAAAAAAATTAACCAGCTTATTAGAGTAAAACTTAGTAAGCACTAAGATACCAAAAGCATATGGCACATTAAATGCTAAGTATCAAAAGCAGAATCATACCCTAATTATTAGGTTGCTCCATGGTGCTTGGAAGAAATATGTCCTGACTACTCTTAAACCCACCCCACAGTAGATGGTGCTTTGAGCTAAAATTATCCCGGGGCTCTCAGTAACCCCAGCTGATGTCATCACTTGGAAAATGGCAGGAAACAGTCCCTGCATTAAGTCTTATACAATTACTTTTTCAAAAGCCTGAGTATCCTGTTCCTTTGTAGACAGGGGAAAAAACAGATTTCCCAAGTGAGGAGGCTGACGGACTTCAGGAAGCTGTTGGAGGCACAGGCCCTCTGACTTGGCTTGGAAAGAAAACCTGAAAACCTAACCCAGAGAAAAGATGCACTGGAGGAGAAGCATAGGCTTTAGGAGCCACAGTTAATACTATAAAGCAAGTTAGTAACTAGATCTAGTTGAATCAGAACCTATTTGTAAATATTTTATTCCACTTTTGTTCCAAATCTCTAGCAAGCCCTGAAGAAGACAGGGGGGGAACAAAAAAGCTTTTTCTGGAGGAAGAAATATCTCTTTCATTGCTGTCTTGGTCACAGGTGCCTTCATAGAGGACTTCATCAGGAATTGTATCTGGGCTGTTCTACATCCTGCCTAAAACTACAGAAGGTTACCTCATCACAGAAAGTGGAGCCTTGATTGGAAGGGGGGGCTTGTAATGTACAGCAACAATGGAGGAGGAACAGAGGACATGGTGAGCTTCCACAATGACAGGAAAACATTCCAATGATCTTTTAAAATTAGTCAAAATTCACGGTAGCTTTTGGAGGCGATAAAAGAAGACAAGGGAAGAGAAGGAGGAGGAGAAAGGAGATGGAGAAGAAGGAGGAGGAAGAGGAGGAAGAGGAAGAGGAGGAGGAAGAGGAGGAGGAAGAGGAGGAGGAAGAGGAGGAGGAAGAGGAGGAGGAGGGAGGAAGAGGAGGGAGGCATGCTTAACTGTGCCTACAATGGGCTTTTGGAGTGGGCTCAAAAATATTCAAACATCTTCCCAGAGGCCACAGGACTAGAGAGGAGCCATCCTCAGACCTGGAGAGAACAAAAAATTCATTTCTAGGTCAACAAAAGCTGGCCCTGGCATCCAGGCTTGGCTACCTAAGCACTTCGGAGATGAGGGTTCTCTTTTCCAGTTCACAGACTTATACCATTCTCAAGGACACCGCTGCAGGGATATTTTGAACTAAATCATCACAAACCAGGGAAGTGCTAATGTAGACTTGGTTTGGCAAAGTTCCTGACTCACCGCCTGACTCCTGTTAATGTCATTAGGGATTCTACCCGCTGGGTTCCCTAATAGTTGAAGTTAGATCAAACACATTCCATAAGTCAGAATTCGGCATTGTAAACACATGAATCAGGGAGAGTTGGATTGGAAAACATGTCATTATATTCCTAATCTTAAGATATAAATACCCAAACACTAGACAGAGTTTAGAAGGAAACTCGAGAGTTAATGAATGAAAAGTATTGTCTTAAGTCATCACCACTGATTCTTCCAAGATAAAACTTTATTGGAGACAGCAAGCAGTATACTGAAAGGGGGAGACATGCCTTCAGATGCTCTCCTCTGAGGGGGTGTGGGGAGCCATGGTGAGAAGCAGATATGTTTCATAATAAACTAGTTGGAGAATGTTTATATGACAGTCTTTTTCTCGATTTCATTTTTCTCAATTCTTCAACACACACTTTGGCTTCATTTGGTAAAAATGAAACAAAAGAAGAATCTGTCCCAACTGAGAACAGAGTTTCCCTCCCCCAGAGTTACTTAGGAAATGACACAGCTGCCCTTCTCTTTGAAGGGATTCTTGTCTTCTGGAATTCCCTTTACCAGAGGATCCTCTCCAGAACGTTCTTCAATGTAGTTCTTTATTTCCTCAGAACATTTAGACACCTGGAATATAGAGGAAGGAGATCAAAAGAAATAAATTATGTCCAGGAAATTGAACATTGCCACTGTTTTTTTTTGTGAGATTCATACAGTTTCATAAACCATACTTTAAAAAATATACCTTCTTACTCTAAGATCGTTATTCTATTCTATTTACATATGTCGCATAATCTACAAGAAAAACATTGTTCAAGAAACAAATGTTTCAAAGTCATTGTATTAATAGTTCACCCATAAAGTTTTCTTATTCATGCTTGTCCCATGATTTCCTTTCTCTATAAAATGCAAATATAACAAATCTACCAAGTTCAAATTCTCTGCGTAACAGGCAGCTATTAGGCAGTCCCAGGTGTCAGGGGTTGTGTCCCACCACATGTCTTACAGAAGGGAGCATGCCATACTCCAGAGCTCCATGAAGTCACAGTGACATCCATAGAAGCGGCAAGGAAAGGCTGACAAGGGATGTTAGATCTGTCTATCCACCCCACTCTGAGTCGTGCCTCAAAATTCCTTTGATTTGAATGAAACAAGCTTCCCTAGAGGCTTAGCAGGGTAACCCGAGACTCTGGAGTTTAGGGAATCTGCTTCAACTTTCTTCTCATGGGACAGGATTGAATCATCTCTCTAGAAAGTATCTTTGAGGGCCAAGTTGCAGATTTAAGGTTTTTTGGTTTGTTTGTTTGTTTGTTTGTTTGTTTTAAAGAGAAAAAATTGGAAGTGAAAAGCAAGGCTGAGTGTCTTCATAAGGGTCTGTTTTGCAAGTAGTATGTTTGAAGTAAAAGTTGATGAGACTGATGAAACATAGCCTTTGAGGGAACCTCTCTAAACATGATTCCATATGTATCTCCGAAGACGCACTGTTATTTATAAACACACACAGATACCACAGTGTTAACACATTTTGCATAATTATGAAACATAAACTGGTAATTAAAAAGTGACATTCAAATATAAACAGAAATTAGAATCTCATTGCTTCATTATTTCCTTCCTGTACATGAAAGTACTGTTTGCATGGCAGTGTGTAGAATCCACTGACCCAAAATTTAAAACTAGGTCAAACAGTTACAGGAATTCAAATGTGATAATACATACTATCATTCCAAGAATCTAACTATTGCTGGCATTTATAGTGTGTATGTTCTAAGGGAGTTCTCAGTGCGGTGCTGATAAGCAAGTGTTAAAATCCAGAGTCTGCTGTTCCAGTGAAACACCTGGGTACCATTCAAGTCCCCACTCTCCTTACAGAGGCTCTTTCACTGGGGTTCTGAAAAGATCCGTAATCTCCAAAAGTGGGTAATTGCTCCTTCTATGACTGAGAGGACACATCTGACCAACAATTAATTAGCTGCAGCCAGACATAACCTGTGTAATTGTCTGCATGCTGTGAGCAGAGCACAGAGCTCAGGTGTTAACAAAGGATTGACAGCCTGACCTGGAGGGTGCAGGGAGTGGGGGTGGGGCAAACTACTGAAGTACATGCCTTATGGTTCTCGGTGGCTTTAAGTGAGGAACTGGTTATCTTCTCTGGAACTGAGGGATTTTTCTTTTTACAAGTGAGGGGTTGAGTGGAATCCAAACACCACAGTGCTTGTAACCCTCTAGACTTCATACCGAAAATAAAATGTCTGGGGACGGTAAGGAAGTCCATGATCCTCTTTGTGTCCAGGAAGAATCACTCTGAATCTTTCTGTCTTCCTATCCGACACCTAGCGTTTTTGGGAAACCTGTGATGTAAGGTGTACTCCAGGGCTTCGGTGGCTCATGGGAAAACTATAAACAAGGATGCTTGATTTTTACATTGACACACCCAGAAGGCTGCCTGATGTCCACTTTGGAACTTGTCCTTTCCTTTACCCTGTGAATTCTACACAATGATGCCAAATATTCAGACATTCCAGCTTTGCAAAGGCGAAGTATTATTTCAGCACATACCATACACCATGCTGTTTAATGTGCAATCCCTCTGGCTGACACTGGCCAAACTCCGGGCTTTGTCATCAGCCAAAACAGCCCCCCCCCCAAGAAACAACATTATCCTCTGGTCCTATCAGCTGGCTTATTCCTCTAATCACATGACTTCTTAAAGTTACAGGAAAAAATAGGATATTCCACTGCAAAAACTAGGAAGAGTATGAATTTGTATGACGCAAAGGGCTACATTAGAGGGGAAAATGCATAAAAATGAAAAACTCAAAAACTTACAGCATTTCCCAGTAACCAATGAGGAGTATTAAGTCTTATCATGAATGTGTTTGGAGCCTGTTGTATCATTTCTATTCCTTCAATTTTTTTTCAAATATTAAAGTATGAATAGAAGGTAAAAGTCAAAGAGCCCTGGGTGTGGCTCAGAGGTGACCACATACTCAGTGACCGGAGTTTGAGCCCTAGTAACCCAAACTATTAAAGATAACGTCAGTCCATAGGGAAAGGCTGGAAGAAGCTGAGGAGGGCGACCTCATAGGAACACCAGCTGTCTCAGCTAATGAGGACCCCTGAGATCTCTCAGATACTGAGCTATACTAGTTGGTACGAGCCCCCCATCCCCACCCCTGCCCCGACACATATACATGTAGAGGACTGCCTGATCTGGCCTCAGTGAGAGAGGATTGCCTAACCCCCAAGAGACTTGAGGTCCCAGGGAGTAGGAAGGCCTGGCTGTTTGGGGGGATGAGATGTGGAACTGTGGGAGGAGGGCAGACCAACAGGGATGGGGTAAAGACAGGACTGCAATAAAGTAAAAGTAATAATAATAATAATAATAATAATAATAAAGTAACATCAGTCCAAATTTTTCTTGCTCTGGAGAAAAGAATCCTTCTCTTCAAAGTGAACAAAGTATCCAAAAGCCTTTTTCTAAACTACAGGTTGCTTGAGAGAGTGGCAAAAGAAGATTAATGTAATGAAGGCTCCTACTCCCAGGGGAAAAAAAAAGAAGTAAAAATTCCAAGTTTTCCATGGAGTTTCAGTGAAGACTTCTTAGTATTTTCTCATTGACTGGTCAGGGTGGCCTGGAACTCCTGACCCTTCTGTCTCCACCTCTTAAGTGACCGAGAGTTATAGGCATGCACCACCACACCCAGTATGTAATTAATAATTAATTAATTAATTAATTAATTAGTTATTTTAGTTTGCAGCCATATGCCATACAGTATAAATAGAGTTGCATGTTTATAAGTAAATACAGGAAACATTTTACACATTTACAAGACAAATTGGAAACTGCATACAATTTGCAAAGAACAGAAACTCTGGCAGTTTGTTCTCAAGTCCCAGTGGACTCAGCTAAAGTTGTTGGGAGATTTTAAGATGTGGTATTAGAAAAACTCTCTCATGCATCATCCTTTCCATAATGGAAGCTAGCTGCCCTTTTCGGGATTTGTTTGTCTCTCCTGTGTAGGACTCTGTCTTAATCACTTTTGGCTTTATATTCCTTCTTAGTTTCTGGCTCTTCTCACCTTTGGCGATTTCCCCACATCATCTAGCAGCTGCCAGCCTCAATCAGAGCCCCCTTAATGAGAAGCTCCCAGAAAGATTTCCCCACCACCACCACCATCGTTTAATCCTGACCTTGGTGCATTTCTGAGAGGGAATTCTGGAATAGCCAGTCACCTTACCTGTTGTCTCTGCAACTTCACTTCTTTGCGAAGTTGCTCAACCTCCATCTTCAGCTTTTCCTTTTCCGGCAGATCTTCGATGTGAAGGGCAGGCATCTTTGCCCCAGAACTGGGCCCAGAAGTCACTTGTGCAAGGGAGTCACTGGAAGCGCCTAGAACTGGGACGCTTCCCCAAATATCCGCGGGTCCAGGCTACCCCCCCCCCCTTACGCAGGACGTGACTGGCTGGACACCGAACCGCAGCTCCCAGCTCCCCGGGGGCTCGGCTTCCTGCCCAAGCCTGCTCCCGATGGCCTTTCCCAGACTCCAAGCAACCTCAGGACGGCTTCTCCAGGCCCTACCAGCCCTGTAGCCAGGCAGCCTGCTGAGGGTTAAGTATGAGACATCCTCCTGGCTGCTCTGGGCAGGCTGCAGACCCTGCTGGACCAGGTCTCAACACTGGGCAGGGCTGGCGTAGGACCCTTGCCACGCCCGGGGGAGTTGCTGGGCTGGAGACAAAAGTTTTACTTTTGTTCCTTTAGTGTGTGTGTGTGTGTGTCCAACTTACATCCGGGTTTTGTTTAAAGCCAGGAAAAGGACACTACTCAGCAGGAAATAACTAACGGTCCTTCATCTCTCCAAGTTTTAAAAATACACAGCATATAACTTTTCCATATACGTAGTGGGGAAAAGTGGATATTTGGAGGGGGGTCGGGGGGCAGAGAAGAGTAATGTGGGACCTATCTAGGTCTCAGAAGTATACACTAGAATTGTGTTGACACATTCCACGGGGTTTCCTAAAAGCTCAAAAGGCCTTTCACACAAATATGTTTGGAGGAAAGAAGTGGTTTGAGATGCGGGTGTTTCCTGTCGTTAAATGGTCATCTGCATTCTCAATAATAGAGTTTTCACTTTTGGGGAAGGAAGACGTTTTGTAACTCTGGGAGGATAAGAGGACACCACAAGAGAAGTCCTCAAAACAGAGCCTCAAAACCTCCTCCTACAGTTTCTTCCATCCTCACAAGGCTTGGGAATTATCCTCTATCTGAAGGGGCAGTTTTCTAACTTTTTAAAGTTTTGAATTCCTGGCGGGCTTCCTTTCCTGGATATAAGCAGCAGAGTCACTTAGAAGAGCTTTCCCTACATTCTGGGAGGTATGGTTCACAGAGTGCAGCCTTGGATCATCTAGAAAGTGTCTACTGGGAAATATTTAAGCAGGCAATGTCAACCTTCAATGGTTCCCTTGGTAATAGTGCTCAAAGACGAGATGTAAAATATAATGTCTATATAGGAAACCTGCCCTTGCAGTACAGCACTCTCCATTCTTCCCAGAGACAACCTCCCAACTCACAGTTAAATTTGGAAGAAGAGTGGAGCCATTAACTGAATATTTCAGGGTACCCGACCTTAGATACCATCATTGTTTAGTAAGCACAAGCTTTGTGCAGTTTCTCACCAGGCTCTGCTGACTGTCCTCACTGAATATATTAAGATGAAAAGGACAATGGGCTATTTAATGAGTGCTGTTTGGTAGTCCTTCCAACTCTTCCCCGAACCATCATAGAGAAAGTCACTTCAAGTTATGTAAGTTTTGTTTTCCAATTTTAAAATTATGAAGTCAGGGAAGGGAGTGAGCTGCTGGGGTTTGTGGTGTCTCTAAGAGTATCTAAATATGCTCAATCCTTTTCACAAAGGATGTGTTTAGGCACTCCACTTTCTGTATTTGAAATACCAGAATCTTGCAGGTTTAGAGTTAGACTGTCTGGCGAAGTTTGGCTTGTTAGTGAACTGTCAAGACAAACTCACATCTGTCTGAAGAGCCCACTCGTTTTAAATTCCCTGTTTCTTAACTTTAAAAAGTTGGCTAAAAATAGCTTAAGTAAGCTACTGAAAGAAACTTAGTTGTATGTGGGCTAAAGTAAAAAGATCCTATACCAAAATTAAGTACATTGGCAAAGAAAATTAAGGTACCTATGTCTGCCTTAAATGATAGACTAATTTGACTGGTAAATCTCTTCTTGTTAATCCGCTAGTTGCATGCAGGGATACATATTTGTAAATCTATATTGATTCATGAGGATTTTCCTCAGCATATGAGACTTAAAATTTATGTATTAACCTCTGTTTTTGCTTTCATTCTCAGAAAATTCGCTGCATATCTTTTTGAATAAAATATGAAAATGATTTGTTGTTATTTGGTTTTGGGTGGTAAAATGATTATGTAACTTTAAAAAATACTGGAGGGATCTATAGGTACCTAACTTTTAAGTCCTGAGTTCCCCTTCCAGAGAGGATTCCCAGTGAGCGGCTTCTCAAGTCTCCTTGTACAGACGCTCTATCACCAGTGTTCTAAAGGCGTTCCATTTGCTTTAATGCTTTTCTTTCTGTTCCTGCTACTGCTCTTGTTCTGAGGACTCAGTGTTTCATACATGCTAAGCAAGAACTGAATCACCTATACAGCACTCAGAGTAAGTAAACTTTTAAAAAGTATATTTTGTCAAAAAAGAATTAAGTTTGTACTGGCTGATTCAACTGTGGCTACAACTTTATACCGTGCATTATTCCATGAGAAGACTATTTACAGGGTAGTTTGACCATGATATTTAAGTCATACCATAAGGAAACTACAGGTGTAGACAGAATAGACTTTTGTTAAGCATCTCACAGCCTTCTGGCCAAAATCTATAGTAATCTTCTTAATAAATGAAGAAAAATGGTAGGGAGATGATGCTACTGGTGAAAGTGTCTGCCCCTCAAAACCTGAGGACTTCACTTCAGATCCCTAATAAGCTTGTAAAGTAGTGGAGCTTGTTAATAATCCAGGGCTACAAGTTGAGGATTGGGACAAGCTGATGGTGGAGCTTCCTGGCCAAATAGTAAGTCTAGCCAGTTGAGGAGTTCTGGGTTCTGTTTAAGAATCCATCCCAAAAAAGCGAAGTGGATGTATGCTTGTGCGGTAGTGGATTAGTGGTACCAGTGTTGTGAGGTTGATGTACGTTTGTGCCATAGTAGTGCCAGTGTTTTGAGGTTGATGTACGTTTGTGCAGTAGTGGTACCAGCATTGGGGAGTGACCAAGTGCTTGTACTGAAGGCTGTCTCCACAAGAGGAAAATCGTTCTAGGTAGTATAAATCTGTTTTAACAAAACTGTTGTCGTTGGCAAGGTCATAGTCTTTGAGGGTAACTTAATAATATTACTTAGCTAAACTGGTCTACAGTCAAACAGCCTTCCCCCCAAAAAAAAGACATTTATATTCATAGGCAAATGCTACTCTCAGTCTTGATCAGATGATCTACTTTCCAGTGAATGACAGTGAATGCAAAGACTCATGGCTGCTCAAGAATTTGAAAATAAGTGAAGCCTAACTTCTTAGTCCTAAGAAAGACATCTATGCTGTCCTCTCAAAGGCATGGGAAGTGTGGACAATGTGGTGTGAAAGGAATGTAATGGGGGGATGGCTGCAAACATCAACTTTTGGTCGGGCGCAATAATAAACTTACAGTAGGTGCTGATTTCTGTACTGAGGCTACACAAGAATGAGTCTGTTGGTTGTCTAACATGGATGGGGGAGTGGCTTCAGGAACGCTACTGGGGAACTATTGGCTACTGATCGATTTGGGGAAGATAGTTACTATTTCAGTTCTCTCCCCACTGGTAATCCCTCGAGGCTTCAGGTCACAGTCCATACTTGTGAGCTGACAGATGGCCCTGATTAAAGTCCATGGGTCACAAAAAGAAACAAAATGACTTGAATTTGAAAAGGGACTTGGGAGTTGAGTGTCAGTAACATGAGAAAGAAATGAGGTAGTGTGTGGATAAAGTAATCAGAACGTACTACATACATGTACAAACTATCAAAAAACTATCTCAATAAAATATCAAAATACAGTGAAGATGAATAGTAGATGCCTGGTGTTGATGTCTGGTCTCTACATACTTTTACAAAAAAACATATACTACACACTACACACACACACACACACACACACACACACACACACATTCTCTCACACATACACAGCCACACACACAGACAGAAAAGCAACCATTTGCACATTTAAACTACAAAAAATACATGATCTTGAAATTAAATTTAAAAAATTTTCCATTTTCTTCAAAATTATTTTTCCAATTTATCAAGTTTATTGCTAAAAATCATGCAAAGGAAGTTCTTTGTAAAAACACCAAAAGAAATTATGTTGTAGTAAAAAAAAATGCTAACTTGAATACTTGAAACAGTATTCTGACCTTATGTTATCATGTGTGTTAAAAAAAATAAAAATTAAAAGAATAAAAACCACATTTTTTTCTGCTTCTCTTTTATAGAAAAAAATAAACTAGGTCACATTCCAAAATCTGCCTTCTGGAATCATAAAAACAAATGATAGTTGGATAGATTATTTTAAAAAGGTATTTTAGCACATGTTTGTTTTACTCTGGATTCATTTGATATTTATTGGACTTTGATTTAAAAAAAGAGCAATCCCAGGAAAACTTCCTTTTTTTTTTTTTTTTTTGGTTTTTTTTTGGGTTTCTCTGTGTAGTCCTGGCTGTCCTGGAAGTCACTCTGTAGACCAGGCTGGCCTCGAACTCAGAAATCTGCCTACCTCTGCCTCCCAAGTACTGGGATTAAAGGCATGCGCCACCACCTCCAGGCCCCAGGAAAACCTCTAGAATTGTATGCTCATTAAAGTTTAGCCATTTGCATGAGCTTCCTGTTTTAGACATAGATGCCTTCAAGTCACAGAATGACCGGAATCTGATCTTCTAAACACCTCCATAGCGATTTGTAACTTGCTAGAGCAACCAGTTTCCTTCCTCAACATTGTTCATGTAAAACTTTAAGACCCTATCACAGATGATAATTCTGACTATTAAAGTTAACCAGTTTTCACATATCTTCGAATGGATGGAGCTTAAGATCAGAATTTTCAAAAAATTGACTAAAATCAACTCAATCCAAATAAAACTACTGCTATTTTCCCCTCCCCTTTCTGCTACTCTTCCGAGTCTTCATCCTTCTTCCTCCTCTTCACTCTCCATCTTCTCCGCCTTTTACTATGAACTCACCTACATGCTTGTACCTCAAAGCGTATGTGATTCATGTTGTATGTTCCATAATTACTCATTCTTACTAACATGTCACCAGGCTTTGTTGAAGAGCCAAATTGTGAGACATTTTAGGAGAGTATGCTGTTCTTTGTTTTTTTTGTTTTGCTTTTGACTGTATTAGCCAATTCTCCTGAACCAAGTAACCCCTGGCTCTGAGATGAGAGTTTTTAAAGAAAACAAAGTCACTGTCAGCTGCAGCTGTGCTGTCTGGGGGACAACATCAGATTCATTTCCTTCTTTCTGGATATCTTTCTCTGCTGTTCTCTCCCTTTGAGTTCTTCCTTACTGAGAATGCAACAATATGTACTAGTAAAAAACTTAACCTAGTTATCATAAGAATTCTGCCTTGTCCAATACAAAGATATGGCAAGTATGTGCTTTTGTCAAGTGCTCTTAGTTGAACTAAATATTAATGAGGTCAGTCTAATTCTAGTAACAATTTGCATTAGGTTAGGCTGTTACAAACTTGGGGAAATTATAATATATAGTATTTAATTGAAGACTCTAAAATTATATTTCAGAGTAAAGTAATATTAAATGACTTCAGAGGTAATAAATATGATCGTGACGGAGTAAAAGAAATTGTCTCAGAAAAGATAGCTTTCAAGGGGCTGAAACGAAATGGGGAGACATTTCAGGTGCGACAATCACATGACCAGATTTCAATGGGAAGATTAGGATACCCTGACAACTATTCTTATCTGTACAGAAATTCTACAGGAATTACAACAGTGCATGTTATTAAGCCTTCTATGTGACTAAGAGCTAAGAGATTACAAAACTCAAATAAAGATCACCCTTGGTTCATTCTATACGTTTCAAAATGACATTTCAAAGAGTTGGATTTGCTTTTCCAAAATTCTCAATACAGGGAAGAGCTGAGGTTTTAACTTAGAACCATCAGACTTCAACATCTGTATCAAGTTGTAGGATACAAACTAGAGATATTCATTTAGAGTATGCTTTGTCTGTTGCCGAATGTCCTAATAAAGAATTTGCATTTCCTTAGGAAAAAAAATATGGAACACTAACTTGCAGGTGGAAAAACTCTAGAGAGAGAAAATAATGCATAATTATAAATAATAATATGTAGCAGTACAATGGGTGGTGATGTTGTCATGGAGGAACAGAAAGTGAGGAAGATGGGTGGAAATGCTGGGGTTGGTGGGGTGATGGGCTTTTGTCCATCTAAATAAGAGAAAAGTAATTTCTCTGTAGGAAAAATTGATGAGATTGCATAATTTACCCTGCAGTCTTTATGACATAAAATTTCTCAAATGAAGACACACAGAAAAGGACGTAGCTATCCTCAGTCCATGATCCTGAGCCCTGACCTCAGATGTCTGCCAAACGTCCTGAGTCTATAGTTTGCCTGTTTGGGAAAAATTGGGTTGGGTTGAGTATTTCCTGTGATCTAGTAGAAGATCTGACATTCAGACTGTCCACCAGAACCAATAGATAAGACACAGTTTGCTTTCTGTCTCCAAAGGATGACCGTCACTTTCTCTTGTGGTATTCTGATGACTGAAGCACTCAAAATTCACTGTCCATGTGAGGTAGCAATAAGGAGATGATGATAATAAAATGCTTTGCTTTGTGTAATTACACCTGTCATGTCTCACAGAAGCAGAGACAAGGTGGTTGCAACTCTTGTTCCTGTGGCCCACCCTCAGTATGGTATGCACTGTGCCAGTGAGACCTTTATAGGAATGAAACGGAAAGGATTATAATGGATAACATTTTGCAAGTGTCTTTCTAGTTCTTTTTCCAGTTACTGATAGTTCATAGCTAACAGATACTGCATCTCACCCTGTGTCAGACAACACATGCTGAGTGTTTTGGCTATAGCCAGAACCAATATTATCTTCATCTTCATAGAGAAGGAACTATGCTTTAGGAAGAAGCATGAAATAACCAAAGTCTGTTAAGCAGGAAAATGACAAAGGCAGACTTCTCTGTCTCCAAACCCTGTGCTCCTAACCTATTCGGTTGTTGGTTAAATTCACTGTGTTCTGTGACCGCAGACTGAACTCTTAATCCAATTGGCACTCTGGGAAAAAGTTACATCATTAGTGACAGATAGAAGTTAGTAAGAATGTTCATGAGGCTATGTTAACAATAGCCTTATTGATTAGGGTGAGGAAAAAAAGAAACAACTGATAAAGTTTCAAGAATTAATATATATATTATATATAATGTACAATATATATAATATGCAAATATATATGTATATATATAATTTTTGCCAAGATGGATCATCTGTGTATGAAAACAATAGATTTCACTACTCCTGTGAGCAAGTGAAATATTGAGAATAAAGTATGTTTAACTCTAAAAGTTCAAGAATAGTATTATTAATATTGAAAGGAAAATAAGTATAAAACTACCCAGGCAATTAAGAATACACTGATTCTAAAGCAGGATTCATCAGTATCACAGTTAATTATTTGTTAAACCTTATGTGAAATACTTCATGAAAGGCATGAGTGTACATATTATTGCATGCTCATTTTTATTAAAATTTAAAGTTTATAAAGTTAAACAACATATACAAGTTTAATTATATAGGAGAACAGTTTGCATTATCATTAAAATTCTAGAATTCTAAGAAAACTTCTCCCCTGCCTATGAAATTACACAGCCTCCTTTGAGCTCCTTGAAGGGATTTTTGTCCTCTGGAACCCCCTTCACTAGAGGGTCTTCTCCAGATCTTTCTTCAATATAATCTCTTACTTCTTCACAACATTTGGAAACCTTTAAAGAAAGGAGACAGAGATAACTCATTTGTTTTAAAACAGAAGTCTGCAGACGGTAGAAATGTATTTATTATAATACATTTCTATGTTGCAGCTTTTTAAGACGATTCTATCTGCTTTCTGACAGTGCATACGTATTTTCCAGAGTAGAAAAAAAATCATTCTCACAATTCCCTTCTAAATGTCTCCAGAGGATAGATGCTGGCCCTTAGGCTAACAATTCCTAGTGGGCTTTTCCTCTAGCTTTTTCAAGGAAACACAAGTGAGGGATTTCTCCAAAGTTAAGTCTCCCTTCTCTTTCTATGTGTTCAGTGTGAAGATCTATGAGAGAGAACACTTGCTAAGTTCCTGGCTCATTCTTAGTGTCAGATTCGCAGAAGTACAGACACACAGCTTTAAATTCAACCACAGTGGCTGTTCATAACAGTGTATGGCATATGCTCCAAGGGGTCACTGACTTTGGCTATTTTGTTAGTATAGCCCAGGCATCTAGAACAGAGCCTGTGCTGAATTCATGCTCAGTAAGCTGATGTGTGCTGAAGTGGGCATTCATTTATAGCTTTATAATTATGATTTAGAAAACAACCAGGCTTCAGTGCTGTATCTATGTAAGAAATATGCACATGTATGTATTCAAAAGAGTTCAAATTATTCATGGCTTTTAGCTTCATTTTATATTCAGTTGATGCCTTTTATGACAGAAACGTAGATCTGTATTTTTGACAACGCAGTGACCAATTTGTAAGTTTTGTAAATAATTTAGTGATTTTTTCCATAAAACTGTATATCATATACACATTCATGTACATGCGTATTCATGCACAAATATATATGTACACTTTAAATTCTAGCCTTAAAAATAGTCCCAATCTAATGATACCAGGAGATGAAGCCTTTGACAGCTGCTTTCACCCTGAGGGTTAGCTCGTGATCATCATTAGCACTGAGATGGAAGGGTCATCACAACAGTCTTTCCTTCATCTGTTTTTACCATGTAAGGACACACTGAGAAGGAACTACCTGGTAACGAGGGCGCATGCCCTGGACTTGGATGAGCACAGTCCCCGGACTGTAGGGAATAACTTCAAAATGATTTACTGCTTGTGCAAAGGCGTGCAATCTGTTCTAACCTCTTACCGCTGCAAGAATAGACTGATACAAGGAGTGTGTGTGTGTGTGTGTGTGTGTGTGTGTGTGTGTGTGTGTGTGTGTGAATCTACTGCAAAAAAATCTGTATTGGAAGAGGTAGGAAAAAAAAGGAAGAAAAAAACAGGAGGGGGAAGATAACACAGGACAGAGAAGAGAGTAAGGTTTACAGTATAATACTGTTTAAACATGCAAAAGCAATAATATTCTGAACAGTAGAAGAGATGAGTGGTGGTGCTGTATGCCATGTTTACCCCAAATAAAAACTCCAAGGTGACTAATAAACCTGAAAATACCCACATTGCTGACCAAAGGATACTCATCAGTACAATAAGGACTTTAGCCTGTCTATTTTGTGTTCTATTGTGCTGATTGAAGATTTGAGTTTATCTTTATATCGAAACAAGTTTTATCTATGTGGAAAGAGTGGCATGACAATTGGAGGCAATTATAAAAAAACTAAAATCTTAAATGTATTTGCTTAGAAGTAAGTTTTGAGCAATGCATAACAAGAATATCAACTCTTTTTACTCAGTTCTCATAAGGATGCATATACATTCATATGTAGACACACACTCACATTATATATGTGTGTGTGTGTGTGTATGTGTGTTTATATATATATTTATTTATATGTATATATACATATATATAAATATGTATAAATACATATATATTTATATACATATACATATATATGTATATATTTATGAGAATGATATGCTATTATCATTCATGGAGAAGTTTTTGTTCTGCTTTTCTAAAATGAAGTGAACTTACCTAACACACATCTCTATACTTTTTGAGATTCAGTCACTGTTTGGTGAAAGCTTTCTGTTCCCTTTTCTTTTTTATTCTGTTTAATGCCAAGACTCTGGGTTACTATTCTCAAGAACGATCAGATGATTTTAGGAAAAACCAGTGAGCTGTTGTGGCTGAAATCATCTTTATTTGCAAAGGAAGACTAGAATGTATTTATTTGCATCTCACCAGGGCAGGGCTGGAGAGTATGAGGTTGTACTTCTAAATACATAAACAACATCAAAATATTATATAAAATGAAGAATATCTCAACTTATAAGAACAAAACCAAAATGTCTCAGTGCCTTGTTTCATTTGAGTGCTTAGGTAAAACACCATCTTTGTTTCAAAATTTCCCCTATTTTCTTCTTCTTAGTCTTTCTATAAAGGTATAAAACATTTCTTAGCTCAGTGGTCATACAAAAACAGGCAAAGAGCCGCACTTGTACAGGGAAAAATAGCTTTCTAACACTTGGGCTTAGAATCTAACTCATGAAACAAATTTAATTATTACCTTTCTTCTACTCTGATTCTGTTTTCCACTAAGAATTTACTTTTAGATACACTGATCTGCTCCAGTATACGCTACAAAAATTGGGAGGTTTGAGTGTTTGCCACGTTGTCTCTTCCAGTGAATTTGAGAGGTCACCCACTTACCATCATTCTTTCCAATGTCACTTCCTTCTTGAGTTGGTCTACCTCCATCTTCAGCTTGTCCTTTTCTGTCAGGTCCTCGATGTTGATCACTGGCATCTTCTGTCTGTGATAAAGATAAAGTGTAAGTATATACATCTGACCTATGTACACATGCGCGCACACACACACAACCCACAGATAGCCCATCCCTCTGCTCTGTACTTACCAGGGAAGGTGTTTTTTTGTTTTCTTTCCAATTGTCTATGATAACCAGTCCCTTGTGAGCAAGCTCTCTGAACACTGCTCATACCACATGCCAGGCTCAGGATTTTAAAGCTTCTTCATAATCTCCTCTAATGTGATTAAACTAATATCTCTCTTCCAACACCTGCCAGGAGATTTGAGGGGATGGGACTGTTTAGTCAGTGTGTAATATAAAGTAGCAATGCCCCTCTTTCTTCTGGCCTTTTGCAGCATGAACTTCTGGGTTTTCAACTCTCCTCTCTAGTGTCAAAGCCATCCGCCAACGAATCAATGCCATTTAGTTCTGCCAGAGGTTATTTGGAGGACTGCCCATTAATCCTCAAATTGCTGGAGTATTTAATCTGGTATTAAAAGAGAACTATTTATAAAGAGTACCGTTATTAAATATATCATAGAGAATGGATTGAAATGTGAACCAATGAAGCTGACTATAGTAAGTAAACTTCAGAAATAAGCTGTTATACAATTTAGAACTGTCATTCAACAATATCTAGGATTTATAGGTAAACGCTGTGGTGCATTGAAGAAAGGGTGTTGAGCAGCTATAACTTGCTAAAAGAAGCTTATTGATCCTGATCTACCTATGTAACTTTTGTGAGAAGAATGGCCTTGTCTAGCATCTTCCTCTTATGTAGACACACAGATAATGGAGAAGACAGTTTGGTGGCTGTTGGTGTGCCCGAAATTGCTTGACAGACATATTGTTATACTTAAATGACATCGTGTCTATTCTCTGACTCTCTCCTTTTCTGCTTTGCATCTGTAATTTAATTTTCATATGGAAATATTTTGATGAAACGTGGACTATTCAGATCACACACTATTTCAGGCAATATATCATTGTACATTTACAGGAAAACACTCTGTTAAGCAATATCACGGCAATTACCATTTATGTATGTGTTGTTTTCATGTCCAAATCATTTGCGGAAATATTGTATGCTTCCTAGACTTAAGATACCCCATGCTTCTCGAGAAAGAAGTAATTCATGTATTTCTTATAGAAATTCTGCATATGCAACACAGACCTAAATGGTGCAACCAACGTGGGCTAGAGGAGCCCACTGTTACCCGTGGGTTTTGCTTTTCCCACTCTGCTCTTTAAGAAGTGATACAACAAAACAGAACCAGTTCTGTCTGATGTTTAGCAGGTAGAAGCCCAGGCTCTGTTTTATTCTCATCCTCCCTCTCCTCTTCATAGTGCCTGTAAAATTTCACACACGTTTTATGACTTCTTACCCGCTGATGGTAACGTTTGTGCAAATTTTTCCACACTGGCTATAGCACCACAGTATATATGTGATACAATTATTCTACTTTGTTCTCTGACCATCTTACAATGATGCAATGCTTGTGCAGAGTTCAAACGCCCATAATCACACAATGACGGACTGCTTCCAATATAAATGCTCATCCTTGGGTCTGATGTGCATTCTACTCCCACACACTTCTTTTAAATCAATATAAAGGAGTGAGTTGTTTCTTCATACTCAAGAATGTAGTTGAAAATTGATAACAGATATCAGGAAATCCTTCTTCATTCCTCAGAGTCTAAGCTTTCAGGTTAGGCCAAAGCCCAAAAAGGTCAAATAATGACTAGTGCTCATAGCTATGGGGATAGAGGACCACACTCCAGTTAAGAAGATGCTTGTTCCTTTTCCTCATCTTCCATCATGTGCCATCAAAGGCTGCAAGATGCAAAGGCAAAGCAGAGAGAAGCAAGGGGAGGGAGAAGCCCAAGAGATATACCCCATGTGAAGATGGGTTCTCAATGGAAGAAATCATACCCCCTAGGGGAGAAGTTTTATTTTAAACTAGTCAAGTCACGTTTCACCAGTTATGCGACCCTGATAAATACGATCCTACTTCCAGACTGACTACCAATAAATGGTGAACATTTGCATAGACAAAAACATACGAATAGTTACTTCAAACTTGAGCTTAATTTTACTTTACAACTAAATGTAAAATATGTAGTGATTATTAGATACAGTATGTTTTACAGTAATAAAATACATATTTTTAAGAAAAATAAGACTGGCACAAGAGTATTCTACACTTTTTAGAAAACTGTGTCACCCATTATAGTCATGAGATTGTATTTAGCACAGTGTCTTCAAGGGTGTTGCACATAAGCAGCATGGGGGCCTTGTCATAATACAACATCTCAATAAAAGTTCTCAGGCTTTGTCTTTTCTTGAAACCCATCTTCTTTATTTATAACTAGCCTCTGTTTTTGTATTTCATAAATACAACCCCAGTACCATAGTGATGGTTTTACCTAGACCACTATGAAATATTTCTTATACAAATAAGACTGTGAGTTATTCAAAATTCATAACCATAAATCTTAGAAGAAGGAAGGAAGCACCAGTCACCTTGACTTTTCTTGTTCTTAAGTGCCAAGGTAAACTAAAAACCAGAGACAGCCAACAATAATGCCATCTATCTAAAGGGTACAACTAGAGAAGCTACATGCTGGAAAACAGGAATTAAGTATAGCTGTTTGTAAGACATTTCTATTAACATATTCTCTATGCTTGTAATACATTGAGAATTGTTTAAAAACTGGTTTATATTTACTCACACTGAAGCAAGCAAACATTTCACAGTGAGAGCAGTGCTAGACAGACAAAGACCACTGTTTCCTTGTCTATACCATAACTGAGGGGCATTTTTAAAAACATTTCTTTAAAAACATCTTGCAAGGATAAAACTATGCAAGTGTGAACCCACTGATATCTGTCACAGTTTCCATTGAGTTTCTCCTAGAATTCATGTGTCAGAGAGCATGCTTTCGGTTTACTTCCTCGTATTATACATAAGTGTGTTTCAAGCAAGAATGCCAGATAAATAAAATATTTACTACAAAGAATCAGAAGAGGAAGAAATTATTCACATTCTTGCTTTTAAGCCCTTTGTTCTGCATGGCATACAGTATTGCAAATACTCTAGTTATTACTTGCTTTAGAAACACTCAGTGCACGCTGTTTTTCAGAAATGAATAATGACATTATATCCAATAAACTTAAAATCATATAAACATAAACTTTTCTATAATATTATTTCTTACCATATCTGGGATTGTAGAACAAGAGCTAGTGTCTTTTTATTTGTCCAATAACAAATACAAAGATGTACTGAGATACTATTATCTGTGGAACTTACTCTAAAATCTGAAGTGTAAATCAGGGTAAGAAGAAAAAGAATCACTTCACCCTCTAGAAACTTACATTCTAGCAAGGTAGGTGAATGATATTATTCAAAAGTATATTATCCACATTTAACTAATACCAAATAAGCCAGGAAAAAAATAAGAATGTGAGCCAGAAATGATTCCATTGCAAAAGGTGATCAAAGAGGGATGACCTGAGGGCCAAGGAAGTGACTAAGCAAACAGGTATGAAGAAAGTTTCTGAAAAAACATAACCAAAGCACAGCAAAGCACAGCAAGGCAAAGTCAAGTCAAGGCAAAGTCAAGTCAAAGTCAAGTCAAAGTCAAGTCAAAGTCAAGTCAAAGTCAAGTCAAAGTCAAAGTCAAAGTCAAGTCAAGTCAAGTCAAGGCAAGGCAAGGCAAGGCAAGGCAAGGCAAGGCAAGGCAAGGCA